ATGGAGTCGGGCTGAGAAGCCAGGCGACTCGATGCGAGGGTACTGAACCTCGCATGCGGAGCTTGCCGCTATAATGGAGTCGGTCTGAGAAGCCAGGCGACTCGAGGCGAGGGTACTGAACCTCGCATGCGGAGCTTGCCGCTATAATGGAGCCGGGCTGAGAAGCTAGGCGACTCGAGGCGAGGGTACTGAACCTCGCATGCGGAGCTTGCCGCTATAATGGAGCCGGGCTGAGAAGCCAGACGACTCGAGGCGAGGGTACTGAACCTCGTATGCGGAGCTTGCCGCTATGATGGAGCCGCTGAGAAGCCAGGCGACTCAAGGCGAGGGTACTGAACCTCGCATGATTGGGCGTAGCACCCTACAATTTATGTGTCTAGCTCGTGTGATAAGTCTGGGTTAAAGCGGAATGGTACCTGATGCTTTGCTGCATCGCTAGTCGTACTAATAAATGATGCCTCGCTGTCTTGGCTGTTTGCGGAGAGCCATGTGGCGGTGCTACTTAGGGCTTGATAGCGTAGCTATTGTCAAGTGGTGCGTAGCGATACTGCTGTCAGCAATTGGCCAGCGGGGCCGTTGAGGCCCGGGCAGCGAGCTGCTAGCGATAGGTGAGTAACACGACTATTGAGAGTTGGGCAACAGTACTACCGAGAGTTGGACCATGCGGCTACTCTTTCAATCCGGAATACCAACGTCGCCTCGGGGATACACCATCATTCATGGTGTCAGCTTTTTATGTACTTTAACTCTTCCCCCTTGGGAATAAAAATCACTTCTACATAGTGTCGTACCAACCCTATTCCCCCCCCTTTTTTTCTTTAGAGGAGGCGAAGAAAAGGAAAGACGGATGTGTAGCCGCTGAAAGGCGAGATACATAGCTGCTGGAAAGAGCTAGGCGACCCAAGTATTAACAAAAACTGGTTGGCGCGGCTGCTGAGAGCTAGGCAGCGCGACTGCTAGTCCAACAACGTAACTACTGATGGCTTGGCCTTGCAGCTGCTGAGCTGGGCCGCATCGCTACTCAGAGTCAGGCTGTGAAACCGCTGAGAACCAGACAACGCAACTGCTGAGGGCTAAGCAGCGAGACTAGCGAGGGTTGAACCACGAGGCTGATCTTTCGACCCAGAATATTAATGTCACCTCGGGAGTGCACTATCATGCATAACATCAGCTCTTCATGTACTTTAACTTTGCCCTTTCGGAATAGAAATCACTTTTGCATAGTGTCATGCCAACCCTCCCCCCCCCCTTTTTTTTTTCTTAGAGGAGGCGAAGGGATGGATGTATAGCCGTTGAAAGCTGAGATACATAGTTGCTGGAAAGAGCTAGGTGACCCAAGTACTAACAAGAACTAGGTAGCACGGCTGGCGAGAGCCGAGCGGCACGAATGTTGGGAGTCAGACAACGTAACTGCCGATGATTGGGCTGCGCGACCGCTAAGAGTTGAGCATTGCTGATAGCCGAGCAACACGATTGTTGAGGGCTATTTCGAAATGTTTCACGAGTAGTAGTAGTAGCGTACTACTATTCTCCCTCCTCTTTTTTTTTTTGAAAATTTTGAAAATTTTGAGTTGGACCGCAATGTATCTTTTGGATTTTGACTTTGTTGGACCGACTTGCAATACGTGATCATTAGCTGTTGATTTTTATCTTGCAAGAATGGGCCCAATAAGATGAAAAATTGATGTAGAGAAGCCCACATTGCTAAAATAAATTCAAGAAGCCATTTGAAAGTGACTAGCTCAATTCCCTTTCCCCTTTTTAATATTTTTTATCATATATTTTGAAAGTGCCGAGCGGTTCGGTCTGCCATGCGTATTCCAAAGCGTACTATGTTAAGCGGTGCTTGCGTCGTGCGAATGGCTGATTTTGGTTCCACAAAATTGTGACATAATCGTGAAATTAATTTGGAAGAAAACCCAAATTAAAATATTGCAGACCACTTATGTTATAAGTCCAAGATTAACTTATACGAAACCCAATTTTAGGAAGGAAGCCCAAATCGCGTATGACAAACCCAATTTCTTTTTTATATATGTATATTTTCATTGTTGAACGTGTGTAGAAGCCCAAAAATAGATATATGAGTCCCAAATATCAGCCCATTTAGCTATTAATCGGCCCAACTGAGAAATAATGCCCATGTTCGAGTTATGAGCCCACTTAGGAAATAATCAGCCTAATGTGAATTTGCTAGACGTGTGTGGGAGCCCAAATGGCATTTGTGGGGCCCACCCTTTTTCTTTATTGATTGAGAAAATACGCCAGTTCAGCATCCGCGTCTCCATCCTCTTTTTCACTATCTGCTGTGAGGATACCAAATAGGGAACGACGTATTCGACCACGATTGGGGATCCTTCGCCAAAAGTCGCCAGGTGCAGAGGGAGATTGGAGAAGAGATATGTTCGCCGGCTGCTAAGGAGCTGTGAAATCGCCAGCAAGAAGGGGCCAGAGTGGTGAACTCGTCGGCTGCTAGCGTTGGGACTGTCGTTGCAGGTTGACGAGTGGTGAAGAAGCGGCGATGTTGGGTTGCGCTGGTAGGCTGATCGATTGGCGATGGTGGTGGAGCAGTAGGCAGGAATCAGTTGTACAAGGAAAATCAGAGCTTAACTTCGCCAACAACGTTGATCTGTTGGGGCGCCGACATTGGAGAGGACCAGCGATTTGGAATGGCTCGCCGGCAACGATGGGTCAGCGCTGAAACTTCAGTGAGCTTGATGGCAGTGTCGGTCAATTGCATCACTTGTTGAAGGTCTGCCGGCTAGGGCAATTGCGGGTGGCACTGACAGCGATCAACATTGGGGTCGCTGTCCCTGGAGGTTAACGGGTGCTTTGGCGGTGAATAGAGAATATGGAGGGTCGGGGTCTTTGACTGCCTGAGAAGGTATGTTGACCGTGCGGGCACCGGCTCTTCTGTCTTTCCTGTTCATTGAGGATTGGACCACGTAGGCCCCACACGGGTTTTTGGTTTTTGTTGACAGCATTGTCTGTCTCTAGTGCATTGTGCACCCTCACCCCTCTTTTTGATTAGACAAGTGCATATATCTTTTTGACCAAACACATCTCATGTACATCTCTTTTTCTCTCTCTTTTTTTTTGGTTCAAAACAACATATCTCAACATCTTTCTATCCCTTTTTTTCTTTTTTACTGAACAATAAGTTTTGAAAAGGATAGGATAAACCTTTGAGGTAAAAATAACAAAATATATTCAGGTGGTTTTGGTGAGAAGGGATAAACGAATTTTTGTGGGTTTTAAGAAGTGTACAATGGACAAAGCTTTGTGTACAAGCAAAATAATTACAGAGATAGAGATTTATAGAAGATTACGAGCTTAAGTCATTTTTCCTCTCCCTTTTTTTTGCAATGTACAAGAAACATAGCTATGTTTACAAGCAGCTGTCAAAATTGGTAAAAAACATACAAAAATCCTTATCTAAAAAACGGATTTTCTTCTCAATTTGAACAAAAAGGATGGTTTATGAACTGTAAAAACCTCTTTCCTTTTCAATGCTCAAGAAATCACCAAAATGCAAATGAATACAAGAGCTGAAGTTGTAAAATGGAGTTATATACGGAAAAAGCCAACTAACAAATGATTTTCTGATCTTATGAGCTGATGAAAGTGGGTTTAAAACTCATAAAACTTCTTTTCTTTTCAGCTTGCTCATCAAGCCATTAAAGTATGAACAACAAACAGATCTGAGAAATTTTCGTTTTCTTTTCTAAGCATCTAAAGAAAATAGACAGCCTTAAAAGAGTTTTACAAAAAAAAAACCATAAACTGAATGTGATTTCTTCACAACATAAACTCAGAATAAAGTAAATATCTACCAAAAAGTTCTTCAACTCTCAAGTTGTTCCATAAAACACCAAAATATGAACAAAAATGGAGAAGAGCTCCTGAGAACCTCTTCTCTCCCCGAAAATATAATTAAAACGGGACTGAGTTGGTGTTTTTAAACTTGAGAGATAATTAAGTGAACAAAAAACTTTCAGATCTAAAAACCTGAGCTAAAAATAAAATAGATCTACAGATCTGAAACATAGCTAACCAGATCTGGATAGATCTTTGCCAAGACCCAAACGGATCTGAACTAAGAAATGTATAAATGAACAGATCTGAGCAAACCTTAGGTGAAAACACATCAGATCTGAACAGATCTAGGAAAAAACGAGCTTGAGACCAACTGAGGCTTTTGCTACTTGCTCGAATCCGGGATGGCGCCAAATGATGCGACATCGACCTCCGGCGAGTCTTCTGGTCTTCTGCTGCAGCGGAGATCTGGATATCACAGTGCAAACCCGTTAGAGCCGTCCCATGGACTGTGCCCCGGGAGCGGACTCCGACGGTCAAGTTAGATCAGCTGATAGATCTGAGATGGTCCTCCATAGCTGGAGAGAACCATCTTGGTGCTAGTGGTGGTGTATGGCGGCTGAACCACCCGGCCGGAGTATAGTGGCGGCTGAGCCATGGGGGAAGATCCTCCTCCATGGAGGAGGTACTGTTCATTATATAGGGGACAATTAGGTCAGGCCTTGGGTTAGCCCAATTTAGGCCCAACTAGCAAGGAGCTGGGCAAGGCCGCCCGGAGGCGCCGGACGGGGCTAGCGGGCGCGCACCAGGAGAGGATGGCAAGGGAGTGTCAGGCGAGGGAGCGCCTGGCCGAGCCGGCAGGAGAGTCCCCAGAAGGGCTGGCAAGGGAGTCCCCAGCAAGGGCTAGCAAGGGAACGCCAGACAGGGCTGGCAGGAGCGCATCAGGCCAGGCTGGCGCGCTAAAGCAGTCTAGGCCATGCCAATAGACCATATATCATCAGTTAGAAAGTGCTAGTATACGTTTGGGCAGAAAGTTAACATGGTAGAGTCCTAAGTTTTGTGTTCAATAGTTATGTGGTCAACTTAAGTTACCATGGACCGATTCATAGAACTGGCCAGATTAATAAAAATTAAATAAAATACGAGGATATAATGACACAACCAAAATTAAAAACAAAGAAAAATCGCACAAACAAACCTAAAAACCATTTGGTCTTCTTCTTAACCCCCATCAACCACTCAATATTATCGCTGTTGGTACTCGCTTCCTCCTTCAGAAATGATGAAGATTAGGGTTTCCTTCATTCTCGCGCTCCTTCTTCTCTCCTCTTCTTTCTTCCTTCAAGGTTTTCTTCAATATCTGATCTTGATTTAAGTTCTTTTTTCAGTTCAGTTTCTTATTATATGCTCTCTATTTCCCGATCAAGATCGAATTTGTTCCGTTCAGTCAGATTCATTTGCAGTAGCTTCCTATCTTATTAATCATTCTTGCAAGTTCTGACGTTTTCCTATATGTTAGTTTTTGTAAGTTTGTAGTAAATTCAACAGTAACTGAATACCTCACTCGAATTTGTGAGGTTGTGAACGCAGTTTATGCTATATACATCACTTGAAATTCACGGATTTCTAGCGTCTGGATATTTTTATCAATTTTTAGGTTTAGTTGGTTGTTGAATGTTGACTACATGTGCCGATTTCAGAACTCACGTCTGTTTCAAGTCTAATTCATAATTTTGAAAAATATATCACACCTAATCCGTGCAATAGTTGGAGAATCGGGAACATGTCTGAAATTGAATTGATTTCATGTAATTTACAAACCCATCAGCCTTTTAACTTGGTAGTCGGCATTTTTGTTGATCCAAAGTGCCAGTTTAAGTTTTTTGATCTCGATTTTGTCCCAATCAACTTTTTCTGCTGTTGTAATCATGATTATGTATGAATTTGAGCTTGTTCTAATGGATGGTGATTTTCCATAGTTGCCAGATGTCAGTCTGATTCAGATTCAGAAGACGCTGAGCTTGTTGCTGAAACTGTTGAAGAAGGAGGAGATCTTGGGATTGTTGATGACGATGTCCAGGACTTTGGTGTTGGCAATTATAGTCCAGCTCCAGGTGTGGAAACAGTTTGTGTTTTCCCAAAGAATCCCACGAAAGGTAAGTAAATTTTACTTGTTTACTTTCACTATTTAATCCATTTAGCCACCTAACCATTTTTATTTTTTGGCATTTGTCTCTTGTAATAAGTTTCTTAAGATATACGTGTTTTTTTCTTCATCTGTAGTGGTAGTAGCAGGGCAAGAGACTGAGCTTTTAATTGGAATGAAAAACGAAGGTATTTTACTATTCTTTCACTTCTTCCTTTTTCAAGTTTTGATTTTTTTCATATTCAGTTGCTAATGTTACTTGATGAACAGGGGATCAACATATAAAGGTCCTTGCAGTTCATGCTAGTGTTCATTTTCCATTTGATCACAACATGTTGGTTCAAAATCTTACTACACAGGTGTAACACCTTTTCCATCTTCATATCATATCTTAAATAAAAAAAAAGCTTTATCTTAATATTCTTAAACACTTACACTTTACTTGTCTTATTCAAAAGTATATGTAAATGTTGTGATATATGATCATCATCTTTTATATGGTTTTGTTTAACTCGTCTTTTATTTATTTATTTATTTCCCCAGGTTTTTAACAATGCATCTGTTCCTTCTTCAGTTCAAGCTACATTTCCCTATATCTTTGCTGTCAGCAAATTTCTACAGGTACATATTTCACTACAAAAATTGCAAATTTTGTCCAACTCAAAAAGGTGGGATGGGAACTTGCTCTTAATATCTCGTATGTGCAAAAGACGTAAATGCCCTCCTCATCTTCATCATTAAAAATAGCCCTAGAAAGCTTGTCCTGTGTGTTACATTGAGTGGGAGTGGACAAGCGTTTTAGGGTTATTTTTGATGATGAGGATGAGGAGGGTATTTTCGTCTTTTGTACAGATGAGAGATTGAGAGTGAGTTCCCGTCCCATCTTTTTGGGACGGACAAAAATTTGCAATTTTTGTTTCATTGACATCAGTATCAGTCCCAGTCCAATGCACGTCACGTCAGACCTGTCTTACTTTTGAGAGGTAATAATGTGGCGGTTGGTTTTATTTATAATTATATTGTAGGCGGGAACATTTGATCTTGTGGGAAGAATAGTTTATGAGATAGACCAAATACCATATGAAAACACATTTTATAATGGTACAATTGAAGTTGTTGAAGCTGGTGGACTTGTTAGCATTGAGACAGTGTTCTTAGTTTCTCTTGGGATTTCTCTTCTTGTTTTCCTCGGATTGTGGGTTCGTGGCCAAATACAAAATCTTTCCAAGGTACCTTTCTTTATGAAAATATGTTGCTATTCGTTACATTTAGCTTTTATTTTGTTTATTCTTGAGATGATTACTCAACTTTCTTGTTTTCACTCAGAAAACTAAGAAGGGACCAAAGGTGGAAACCGGGACCCGGAGTGTTGATGCATCAATGGATGAGTGGCTGGAGGTTGCTATTTCTCACCTAAAATCTTTTTTACAAGACTGAAATTACGTTTTCTTCCCCCATTGCTACCTTTACAAAAGAAATCCTGACTTAATGGGGAAAGCATTTTTTTTTCCTATCAAGTCGCTCTTTATGAATTAAGTAAAAAACTTACTGGATCAAATCTTCTTCTCCCATTAAATTAAAAAGAAACAGCACATGAAATTATATATTTTATGGTTGAAATGAATTATTATCTCAACTGTAATCAAGACCGATTGATTAATTGATGTTTTGTTTTTTGTTGTGTGTGTATAGGGAACTGCCTACACTCAATCTAAGGCAAGCAAATTGAAGAAGAAGAAATAGAAAATATATATATATATATATATATATATATATATATATATATATATATATTCTTGTACGTGATGTTTAGGTGAGAAACAACAAGTATACCTTATTTAGTTATTACTGTTGTAGATTGAGGAACAACACTTTTTACGTAATCATTTTCTTGGAGATTTTGACAACTTGACCATATTTTTATACTTATTTTTTTTTCTTCTAATATAGCCTATTTAATTTTGAAAGTTCAGATTACCTTAAATTAATTACTAAATTTTTTTAAACTAAAGCAACTAGTAAAAGACAAAAACGATTTTTAATTAAGATGATAAAGACACTTTCGTTTAACTTTGAATCACCATTTTTCTTATCATTAGTTTCAACATATGGATTAATTTGAGTTGGTTACCAATTTAAATGTTATTAGAAGTTTTGGTTCGATTTCCTAATGTTTTACCAATTTATGAATTACTAGGCAAAAGTCTTGCACAAACGGGACACTTAATTGATTATGAAGATTATTAGGCTATGATTGATAAATCTAAGATTAATTATCTAAGATTAAGACAAATATTCAAAACACAAATTATGATGTAATTATGCTCTCTAGCACAATTAAAGCAATTATTTTTATTACGCAATCTAGGATGTGGTCAATCATTAGCTCTAGCAATTTAAGATTCATAAACAACTAGGTAAACAAGTTCATGCAATCAAAGTGATCATCTATCTACACAAAACTTGAAAATAAAGATTGAAACTTTTAACATACTAGACAGTGATCTATCAAACACAAGCTAAATCAACTTCAATAATTCATGAATAGAGAAACTAATACATAATATTAAAGTTCATCATCACTAAACAAAAAAGTATAGGGTTTTAGCCCATGATTAAAACAGAAACAAACATGAAATTTGATTTAACTAGATTAGACATAGTAAAAACTAATAAAATGAATGATCTAAGGGGGTGTTTGGGATTCCTTTTCAAGGGGAAAAGTCATTTTTGTAAAAGGACTTTTTGTAAAAGACTTTTTTTTAAAGATATTGTTTAAAAAGTGTTTGAGATTTCTTTTACTTTTCCAGCCTCAAAAATTCAAAAAGATACAAAAAGTCACGGATGTGTGACTTTTGCAAATGCTAGTTTTTATGCTTTGGTAAAAGTTGGTTTTAAAAATCATTTTCTAACTTTTGGATGTTTGTTTTTCCATTTGTCAAACAACTTTTGGACTTTTCTAACTTTTTAGAAAAGTTAGAAGTCAAAAAGTTGATTTAAAAGGAAAAACAAACACCCCTAAGCTAGGGGATGCTCTTTCTCTAAAAATCTCCAAAGCTTGATCTCCGATCTTCTTCACTTCCAAGGATTTTTAGAGGTTTCTTAGAAGCTTGATCTCTAAACATCGTAGGGCATGTTGTTATGTTATGCCCTTAGTTTATACATCTATTTTTTTAACCAGCAAATGTTTTTTAGTGATTATATTCTAAATTGGTTACACATTTTCCAATTTCATTTAGCCTGTTTCCACTTCTTTAGCCGGTAACACCTTGCTTATGTTATCCTTTGTTACGACCCTTCATTAATATACATTGTATTGTTGTGAATATCTCTTGTTTTAATGGCTTTGTATCTAGACTTCCAACGTATAAGAAAACGCACATCCTTATATGCTTATCTAGTCTCTTAACCTTAACGTACAATTTTAGATTTTTATTTTTTTGAGCATATAAGAGTAAGTATACCCTTGTATTATGATTCTCTCAAAGGAATTCAAGATTTTTCTTTGAAAAGACATCACCTATACAACACTTGTCTGTTTTCTATTAGATCACATGGTACATTTATATGAGGTGGAGGTTAAAGAGGGAAATAAATCACCTTTTCACTTTTATGGTTCTTGTCGACTCATAATTGATATCGAATAATTAACAAGATGATAAAAGAGTCGTTCGTTTTAAAAAGCAGCCATTCGACTCGTTAGGGATCTCATGAGACGTGAAAAAACGTAGACGTACATCTTTTTGCTAGTTTCTTTAAAGAGAAAAAATTAAAAAAATTAAAAATAATTGATACGAAATTATAGTATTTTATTGTATAAATACTAAATAATATGAATCGTCTAGAAGAAGTATATAAGCTGATGGACTTACGAGTCTTGATTATTACAAAACTAGGTTATAACCCGTGGACACCACAGATGATAAAGTTAAAAATAATTTTAATTAAATTATAAAAAATTTAATAACTAATAAATATATATGGTTTGTCAATAATTTCATAATAATATAATGATTGGTTGAAATTACGAAAGCATAATGATTTAAATATCCGATCGGCAATTTGTATTTGTAAATATGTTAGAAAATTATCATTTTGTAGAATGCAATATAAATTTAAATAAAACAAAAACAAAATTTGATATAAATAATAAAATTGTACAAAATTTTATAAATTTCTAAAATTGGGTTTTATCCTTTTTTTTAGTTAACATGACCATTTTGTCATTTTTTGAAGTTGTATGGAGATAATATCATAAAACATGTATTAGTAAAGAAGTTAAAGAATTTTACTTGACTATCTCTCTTATTCTTAGATTTTGTCCTGCTGGATTTAACAAGTCGTTAACAACCTAAAAAAGCAAAAGCTTAAGACAATATAATTACAAAAAAAAAAAAAAGACTCATAGATTTGCCAATAAAAGACCAATGGAGACTATGGTTCCTTTATAAATAGTAATCCAAAACAAATGGATCACTAAAAAAAATATTTCAGAAGCTCACCTCATTGTATATTTCCAAATATGAGAGGCGAAGGAGAAATTCACGACATGGGGTCTGAAAATACATGAGGATAAATAATAATTATTTTATTAAAAAAACAAAAATAGTGGAGTCAGATGTTTAGCAATAAACATATACCTCTTGAATGATACTAAAAGCATGCTTTATTGCCAATGGAATAATTTCAGGGGACATATGATTTCCCTGTCTTGTATGTATGATCAAGGGAAAATAAATTCACTGGAATATAATAATAAAGTAATAAAAGTATTCATTGGAATACAAAAAGATACTTACCTGCATGGTATGAGTTTTCCCACTACTTGTCACACCATATGCAAATATAGTTCTTGTTCTTATAATGGATCAAACAATATATAAGAAAGACATACATGCTGAGATTTGATAGAAACTAAGAAGACACTTGCAAGAAGGATTCATGTCTTACATAGTCAAGGATTTAAAGCAGAGGTTGTGCTACTATAATTCTAAAACTCTTAAAGTTCATCCGTTAAGATGCTAATATAGTTATTGACTTATTTCCCACAGCCATTCATTTAAAGAAATTATTTCCTACATCCAAGATTTATTAGCTCTCTAAGTCCCTAATGAGAATAATGGTTAAGACTTTTTGAAACAAAATCAATGAGTAAATGTGAACCTTAAACCACAAAGAATACATGTTCCATGAGTCAAGTACAGAAAGAAACACAGTTTCAAAATCCAAAAAAAATTTACTTTCTCCATGGCAAAAAAATAGAGCCCATTTTAGTATTAAAAAGAGCAAAAATTGGCCGCTTCGTTGATCCATAACATAGTACTTAATTGAAGATGCTGTGAGATGAGAAAAGATAACATACCATTAATGCCTTCCATATCACTACTAACAACATGTTGGGGTGCAATATCATACACATGATGTGTAGTGGTTGTAGGCCCAAAAACCTGATCTAAATATATATGTAAAGAAAAATAATAAGATTTGCAATGTCACTCAAGAAATAGAACCTCACAGTACTTACGATAACTTAAACCATGCAATATACAATATGCAATATGAATTCTATCTAAAAGGAAGATTCTTAGCTTATAGCTGGATGACATAACAAAGTAATATTGAAAAACATGAAATTCAGATCCATTTAACAAAATTAATTGAAGTTTCTTACAATTAATGGTGGAGGAATTGAGAAAAGCAGATAAATTAAAGTTTTAACATAGAAATCATTCTTAAACAAAAATCAAAAATAGGAACTGATACTCTCTACTCTCTAGTCTCTACACATTATTGATTATAACGTCTGATTTAGCACTGCAACACGAATAATTCTCCTATATTATTGATTATACCTGCCATTGGTTGGATAAGTAACAACTATATACTAAAGATGTACTCCCTGGTTTATAATAGTTAGATCTCTTTAAGTTACAAAATTTGACTTGATCAATCGAAAATTACCATTGGGAAAAATGATATACAGGAAGCATACATTCCAAAAATTAATAGAGATAAATACCGTCAAAATTCATCATAATCCTGCTCAGTTTTTGTATGCAAAGATTACAACTTTATGATATTTGAAGTACAAATATGTAAATGAGCTGGCAAATTTTGACAGGGGACATTCCAAATTTATTCTCTATCTTATGTCACCTAAGAGGTTTCCCAAGAAAGTAAGAAGATAGCTAATAACTCAAAACAGGTTTTGGCCCTTTTGGTTGTAAGAATAGGGACATATCCTATGTTTTGCAGGTTTTATTAGGCTGGTTATAACATTTTAACTTAATTTATAAAATACCAAAAATAACCTTTTCCAGCTGAACTTCTTGTCATATGTTCACATGAAACCCTTTAAAAATATTAGATTTATGACATAAAAGTAAGCAATCAAGATTGAAAACAGGGGCATAAGGAGTGGATTAATGATGTCAATTTTTTTAGGTGTAGTCAGCAATCCAAATCTTGTAAATGTGTAACAAATATTGTGCAGAAGATGATGAAAGATGGATAATGAAATCAACTATCTGGGTGTAGTCTACCACATTCATAATTTAAGCAAAAACAAAAGGGCCTATCATTATGTAGAAGCCAGAAACAATTCCCTTTTGTAGAGAAATCAGCCCCTCATGTAATAAACAGATTGCAAACCAAGGGCAAAATGGTCCAGCATAAAATCTCGTTGCAAGATTCCTTGAGTGACTTTCATGTATAAGATGCCAAGAATACCAACTTCCTACTTG